CTCACTCATAAACACTCTCTCTCACTCACTCACTCACTCACTCATAAACACTCTCTCTCACTCACTCACTCACTCACTCATAAACACTCTCACTCACTCACTCTCACTCTCACTCATAAACACTCACTCTCACACACTCACTCACTCACACTCTCACTCTCACTGACTCTCACTCATAAATACTCTCACACACTCACTCACTCACACACTCACTCACTCATAAACACTCTCACTCACTCACTCTCACTCTCACTCCTCTCACTCATAAACACTCTCACACTCACTCTCACTCATAAACACTCTCTCACTCTCTCACTCTCACTCATAAACACTCACACACTCACTCACTCACACACCCACTCTCACTCATAAACACTCTCACTCTCACACACTCACACTCACTCTCACTCATAAACACTTTCACTCACTCTCACTCATAAACACTCTCACTCACTCTCTCACTCTCACTCATAAACACTCTCACACACTCACACTCACTCACACACTCACACTCTCACTCATAAACACTCTCACTCACTCACTAACTCTCAGTCATAAATACTCTCACTCTCTCACTCTCACTCATAAACACTCTCACACTCACTCTCACTCATAAACACTCTCTCACTCACTCACTCTCACTCATAAACACTCTCACACACTCACACTCTCACTCTCACTCATAAACACTCTCACTCACTCACTCTCACTCTCACTCATAAACACACTCACACACTCACTCACTCACTCTCACACACACACTCACTCTCTCTCACGAGTGTGAGCGAGCGAGCGAGTGAGTGAGTGAGTGAGTGAGCGAGCGAGTGAGTGAGCGAGTGAGTGAGCGTGTGTGTGAGTGAGTGTGTGTGTGTGAGAGAGTGTGTGTGCGTATGTGAGTGCGAGCGTGTGTGTGTGTGTGAGTGCGAGCGTGTGCGTGTGTGTGTGAGTGTGAGTGTGTACGTTTAGTTAAAGTTTGAGGTCTGCAGAAGTGAGTTAAATGTGACAGAAGATACAAAATAAATGAATTATTAATTTGTGATTCATAAACGAGCAGTGCTGTAAGGTTTGTTCATGTTTTGGCGCTCACAGCTGTGTTTGTGTGTTTAGACTGTTCCTCTAATTGTTACACATTCCTCAACAGAAAGTCCAGTAATTAACTTCACCCATCAGTAGAGCCGTAATAAAGAAGCGATTAATGACAGCGATGAGATATCGATCAGCGTGATTCTCGTCATCTGTAGTCGATCTAATTACACTCACAGAAGAACATGTTCCCCTGGAGAGAAGAAGAAAGAAGCAGAGAGAGACGGATCGCATTACCCATAATCCTCAGCCACACCCACAGACCAATTCCTGCTCATTAAAAGAGCATTTCATCAAGCTCTATTAACCATCACACACACAGCGAGAGAGAGAGAGAGCGCCGAGTACAAACACAGCTGCTTCAGATCGAACGCAGCTAAATGAGAGCGACGCTGGATCCAGACGGCTTGCTTTTCTCATCAGGACAGAGAGAGAAACAGAGGCAGCGCTGCTACATGTGCTGCAGGACACACGGCTCGTTTAGAACGTGACACACACACAATTAACACCAGGACCTGATCCGTCCAAGCAGCTTCATTCACTCTTTCTGTTTCGCTGCACTTCCTCTTAACCAATCGTTCGGATCAGTAAAATCAACCAAGAGCTCATTGAGCACATGCACGCATAGAAACATCTAAAGAAGTAGGATTGAGAACAAAAAATACATTTGAAATGTAACTTTTCTTGTGTATCTATGCATGCATTTATAGGCCCAAAAATTATAACAGTATCTCAAAGAGTCGGTGTCGCAGACTTCGTCTCTTAAACCGAAAACAAAGAAAGCACTAGTTTATCAGTGAATTATTAAAATGTTAATGCAGCCTCCTTACTGTTTTTCCCTGATTCATTCATAATCATAGCTTCTGCGGTGCGCTGTGGCAAGCTTTGTGTTTGCGCTTGGGCGCTTATTAGGCTATGTATGCAGTTAAAGGATCATTACAATGATTTAAATGGTTTATTAATAAACGTGCGATTAGTCGAGTAATGTTTAAAATGAACGACTACTAGACGAGGGTGTTTCAGATCAGTTCAACGAATTCAATAAAACACGAAAATCCGACGTTTGATCAGATGTTAGGACAAATATTAAATTAAAGGACATTTTGTGATTTATTTCAAGATTTGCTGTTAAATATCACTGCATCATTTTATCAAATGTTCAGTTTCTGTGCATGTTTATACGTAAATAGAGAAAAGTGACCAAAAAAACAGAGGCGGACAGTAGTGAAAGTATTTTTACTTTACTCAAGTAAATTTAAAAAGTAGCTTATCTGTAGTTTATCACAGTGTTATTCTTTGGAAAACTTTTACTTTGCTACATTCCAAAGCATAATGGCTTCCTTTTTACTGCACTACATTTCATAAATAAAAGTTTGTTTTTTTACCTTTAACACTTAAGAACATTAAAAATTGTAAAAAAAAAAGAAAGTAAAACTTGAGTTTTACTTGAGTATAAATAAGAAAGTACTAGATTTCTAATGTAATTAAGTATTAAACGATATTTAATATGAAACGTAAAAAGTACAATATTATTCTTTGGAATGTTGTGAAGTAAAGTTTTCTAAAGAAAAACACTGATAAAGTACAGACACTTGAAAAGTACTTTTACAGCGGAGTAAAAATACTTCACTACTGTCCGCCTCTGCCAAAAAACAACAACTAAACAGAGAAAAATCATTAAAAAACGCTCAAGGAGCACTTGATGTGCATCGGACACAAACATGACAAGAGCACAAGCTCCGCCTGCACCGCTGATGTCACTTCCTGCTGTTTCCTGTGAAGGTTTACTCACCCCTGCAGTGGTCGGAGTCCACCAGCTCGAACCCCGGTTTACACTCACAGGTGGAGGACGGAGGCCCCACCCACTGGCCGTCCTCCCCACAGAACATGGTGGGCGGGGCTTGGCCCGTGGGGGCGGAGTTTGTGACGCACACGCCCTCGGCCTGCTGCACCAGCGAGTGAGGGAGCGTCTCGGGGAAGGAGGAGAAGGCGCGGGTGACGGCGGGGCACTTCTTGAAGAAGACGCGGACGGAGAGCAGGGCCATACACGCGCCCTGAGCCTGGAACGCCAGGTAGAAGCCCTTCTTCGACAGCGGACCCACGCGCACTGTCTTCACGTTAGACTTCCTCTCTCCGCCGCGACGCAACAGAAAGTCAGCCGCGACCGTATCCACCTGCAGGACGAGAGGAGAGCGAGAGATTTGGACCTTAAGAATTCAACCATAAATGAAATCCTGATGCTTTTACAGGAAAAACATGTGTGTGTGTGTAAGAGAGAGTGTGTGTCTCTGTGAGTGTGTGTGTGTGTGTGTGTGTGTGTGTGAGTGTGTCTCTGTGAGTGTGTGTGTGTGTGTGTGTGTGTGTGTGTGTGGGTGTGTGTGTCTCTGTGTGTGTCTCTGTATGTGTGTGTCTCTGTGTGTGTCTCTGTGTGTGTGTGTGTGTGAT